CCAGCGGCCCCGCGCTCTGGACGGGTGAGGGGAAGGGAAGGGTGCTCCTGGGCGTGGGGAGGTGGGTGGGCCACCGCTGCCGCCGAAAGCCAGCGCTTCTTGAGACCCTCCGCTCCCCTCGGCTTAAGCCTCCAGAGTTAGGGTAAACAGAATCTCCTGAAGTTGGGGAAATAAACCGAGTCCGCCATCAGTTCTGACTCCTCAGTCCCTGGAGCGCTAGAAAAGCCGCGCAGGGCATCCCCGAGAACCCGGAGTCTTGGAGTGCCTGCCTGGGTTTGTCCAAGCTACACCCTCCTTTGTCTAGGTTCCAGAGAGTCAGCATTCTCTGCAAAGATGTCCACAGCGTTAATTTATAAGCAGAGTAAAGTGTGGTCGGGGGTTCCTAGAGAGGCATCCGTATGTGATAGTAGCAACGTAGGCAAAATGGAGAGGTGAAACTATTATTTGCCAAATTCGGCACCACTCTTCTCCCTGTATAGGCTGTGCTTAAGGGAAGGACCGAGGGCTTAAGAGATTTGCTTCATTAATCATTCTTTTGCAATAATTAATTGTTCAAGCCAGCACTTCGCATTGTGAGGTGCAAGCTCTGTGTATTTACTGCTCTTTGATTTAGAGAAGTGTGTGTGTGTGTGTGTGTGTGTGTGTAGTAAAACCAATTCATTGTTCAGAACCAGGCATCAGTAAAGTCAGAGCAAAAGGCAGATGCTCTTTACATACATGTAATTGACTAATTGGAGTCGATCCTTGTACACCTTAGGTAGATGTATTTCAAAACTAAATACGTCACATTAAAGTACAATATATCTTACCTTGTCTTTTCTTCTGAAGACCTTCAAAAGTAATTATGGACAACTGTATAGAAAACATCTCAAGAATTGATAAAAAAATTCTTATTTTCCATTAACAATATCGAACCCTCGGGTTTGCAGTTAAATCAAGTTGAGGGGTATACTTTCTGTAGCACTTTCTGCATAAATATCACCAGTGCTTGTGAAAGCTATTTACTTTGCTGTTTCTTGAATGGTGGAGATTCTTATAAGATGACCTTCAGTGTGTTATTTGGCTACTGATTCTAGAACTTATTATCAATTGGTGAAAAGTAAGCTCAATTTTGAAACTTTTAAGATCTTATTTTATTTTCCCATTGTTTTATTTTCCCACTATTGTTTACCCATACAGAAGCATCTGATTGTAGTTTTATGCTTTTCAAACATCTGAAGTAAACAAATCCTTTTAAACAAGAAATAATGCTTCCATTAAGGGGAAACTAGTTAAATGGCTTAGTTTTACATTATGAGAATTTTTTACTCTTAAAAATGTATACTGAGGTATTAATGATTTTTCTCTAATGAAGTCCTACTAGAGAGCTTATAATTATGAGATAATTTAGCTATAATTTGTAACCCTGGTTATAATTAGCTTTGTATCTAGGCTGGGAAAGCCTTCGGAAAGAGGGAGCTGCTGCGTGGGAAGTCTCTGTATGTAATTTCCAGGCAGTTAGCACGGGGACGCTTCACCTGTTGCTTCTGAGGCAGGGCTAGATAAAGGTACTTAGTACCCAAAGAGTATCCATGATCAGAAGGGATTCTTCACAAAGAAGGATGGCCACACTTGTTATTTTAACTTAGAGGAATTTTTAGTGACGCTTTTGAATGCTCCTAGAGTTCAGTTCGATTGCTATATTTGGATTTGTGTAGTTTTAGCATTTTGACAACAGCTCGCTGGAGAGAGAAAAATGATTACTGACATACAGAGTGAGTGAATCTGAGCTAATTGGTTAAATTCTCTTATTCTCATGATGGCGCTTAGTGTAAAGGGGAAAATTTCATATTTAACTGAGAAAGATAGAACAAAGATAAATGCAAATGTCACCTTTTATATTTCTTAAAAAAATTAGTAGAGAATAAAGAATATAAGTCCTCATAGTAATGCACATCACTGATCAAACAATGTGGAATTTAAAAGAGAAAGGAGCTTAAAAATAAATTTCAAATAATGTTACTCTCTCTAAATAGGAGACAACATGGAGAATCTTTGTCAAGCAAATCACATTTGAAAAAACAAATTGTGGAGAAATAGAAAGATAAGCCTGTGATGAAATGGACCCTTCATTTATTTATTTAATTTGCTATAGGATGTATGTATTGGCTTGAGAAAGACAAAGAGAGAGGGAAAGTGAGAAAGCATTCCCCCAGTGGGGGTGGTCACACTGAAATACCATCGTATCCAATTCTTTCTGCTTTTGGGATTTGGCATGCATGCACATGTGCTTAGTATGTTTTTCAAGCCGCTGGGTCTAGGACTCAAACTGCACAGTTGACCATGTGGACTTCAGCCACCACCTTAACCACAATACCCTCCAACTGGTTCTGGACCCTTCATTTTATTAAGAAATATGTGATTCACAGTCATAGTGAGTGTATCCACTTGTTTCTGGATTTAGGATGCAGTTTGTCCACTAAGGTTTAATATGTGTGCCAGCACTCAGAGAATTCTGGTGAGCCCTTGTCTGGGAGCCATGCTGGCCCTTGGATACCCATACAGCCTCTCTTGTGGGAGCTTATATGTTGGTGGGGAGAGGACTGGTGCCACAGATCACCTCGTATCTGAAATAGTCTGGGAGCACCAGAGAATCGATACAGAGAGGGAGCAGTATGGCGGGTTACAAAAGACCCTGGATGGGGATTTGTCATCTTGATTACATGGCCCTGGATAAATTCCTTGGCCTTTCTGGTGTTTAGTGCCTTCAGCTGCAGAAGGAAGACTTGAAACTGGTGATCCCTGTTCTTTTTTAAATGTTGTGTGATGAGTTCTGGCAGAATTATGGAAAGGAAGAAATTAGAATGTGTGTGTGGGGGGGGTGTGTGGTTTATAGGATTTGGGTCAGAGAAGACAGGCTGGAGGTCATGCTTATGCAGGGAAAGGGTGATGACTATGATAACAGAAAGTAGAGGAGACTTGGCCTGAGGCAGCTGGCCCATCATTGATTATCCAACTTGACAGTACAAAATGAAATAATAAATACCGACTTTCACTTAAGTACTTGATGGTTTTGCATGAATTTGTACAAATAATGGCGATTGATTTTCCTAACGGCCCTCAGAGGTAATTAGAGCAGAAAGGTGATGAAACAAGGCTAAAACCACACAGCACGTTTGCTCTGTATGCTCCACTGCCTTTCTGCAGGATTTGTAGACCTAGGAGAAGTTAAAGCACACTTTGAAAACTGAGTAAAATGAGAGAGAGAGAAGCTTGGTGTTAGAATTTCATGGAAGGTGAATTTCTGAGTAAAAATTTAGGCTACATTCTGGAAGATGAGAGTCTCCGATTATGAGACTGAGACCTCCCCCAAAACCCTGGATTCCAATTATTGATGTGTAGTCTGATTGCTCCTGTTCTGTGCTTCCTCCCTACCTTACATCCCTCACCCCCAGCAGG